AATGATGGATGCTGAAATGAATTGAATAGGAGCTTATAAAAAGTTACAGAAAATTACAGCTGGTACAGAGGGCTTTTGAGTATGACGAGGAATGGTGCTGCAGTGTCCAGCCTCTGCAGTTTTAAGCTGGCCAATGCACTGTAAAAATGCATGTGAAGTATTGTCAGCATCAGTGGGGTTGTGCTGTGTCATTGCTGAATCCTCCTGAACCATCAATCTCAGCAGGATCAGCTTAGAAATCAGCACCTGTGAAACTTCATCCTGGTATTTTCATGGACAATCTGGAAAAAAAAGTGCAAAGTAATGCTTTTCACTAATTTCAGCTTTATCCTTCCTTGTAAATTATCAATTATATCCAATGCACTAAACCCTTTAAAAATTACAGTTTATATTTTTCAAACCCTATGAATGGTAAAGTAAATAATTTCTCCGAGAGGGGTAACAAAATTCTCAAAACTTTCTAAAGAAGATCTGCATATATAGGAATTTGAGTGTGCTTCTCATCTTAGTAGTGAAGAATATTTCCAATTTTTATAAAAGAAGAAACTGTGCTTGCACCATTTCACAGTGCTTTGAGAAACATCACTGTGCCATTCACATTCTCTGAACGTGTTTCCTTCACCCAGGGTTTTTCTCCTGGGAAGCTGAAAGGCAGTGAAAGAGGTCTTAGAGAAAAGGAAAGCAATTCTTATCTCATTTGCTTCTCCTGTGTTTTGCTCATGTGGAATGTGTTTGGAGATTGTTTACCCACAGGTGATTGTTTCATTGGATTCTGCTGTGAGTTGTTTTGACTCTTTGGTCAAGCTGTGTCAGAACTCTGGAAAGAGTCATGAGCTTTCATTATTATCTTTTTAGCATTAAGTATAATTTCTGTATTCTTTAGAACAGTATTGTATAGTATTCTTCAATATAATATAGTATAATAAAGTAATAAATTAGCCTTCTGAGAACATGGAGTCAGATTCATAATTTTCTCCCCTCGGGGGTGCCTTGTTTTAAACACATCAGTGTCTTTGTCTCTATCCTTTTTGTCTTTCTTTTCATCCAAGGCCTGAGCAATCTTCACTGGTACAAAAGTAAATCTTCCATTGGACATGGAGTCATTACAGGCTTGTGAATTGCAGAATCATGGAATAGTTTGGGTTGGAAGGGTCCTTGAAGACCATCCCATTCCAACCCCTGCCTTGGCAGGGACACCTTCTACTAAACCAAATTGCTCCAAGTCCCATCCCACCCAGCCTTGGACACTTCCAAAATTAAATCCACAAAAGGCTTTAATTTTGGCCCGCATTTGCAGTCTCTGTGCACTCCTGCGGCTCCACTGGATCCCATGGAATGATGCCAGTTTGTCCCCACTCAAGGCTGGATTCTGATCATATTCTTCCCTGGTTTTGGCTTTATTCACACACAGGACACAAAACCCAACTGCCAGAGCAGGTGTGGAAGAATCATTTCAGTCTTATGGGGCATCCTTATGGACAATCCTGTCCCAGAGCCTGGAGACACCAGGATCAAGAACCCCTGCTCCAGGGTGGCAGGGAAGAGCAAAGAAAAGGAGTCAGGAGAGCTCTTGAGTAAATGCTGCAACAGCAGCTTGCAGAGGACTCTAGGAAATGTGAACCTCAAAAAAATTAGCACTGAATATTTTGTCTACCATTCATGGCAAAAGAATGGCTCTTGAGAGCAGCAAAGAAATGCAGTGAGGAATTCTCACCTGAGGAATTATTTTCCTGCATTCTTCCACGGTGAGCAGCACATCTCTGCCTCTCTGAGGCACAATGGAAATTGAAAACCTGCAGTACTGGAACAAGTGCCCTCAGCTTTCCAGGGTAAAATAATACTTGTAATGGTTCTGTCTGTATGGAAAAAACAAACAAAACAAAAACAAAAAACAAAACTTGCCCAAGCCCTATAATCTCATTCTGACAGAAATTATGAAAAAAACCACCCTAGATCTGATATCAGCAAATCTTTCTTGAGCTATTTGTATCTCTTAATGAAGAGAACTGCTGATGTGATTTGCAGAACAAGAATGCTTTAAATCATTGTTTTAAGCATGTAATGGACTCCTACATAACCAGCTTAAGGAAGTCTTTAAAAGAATATTTGTATTTCTCTTGTATTTATTTTTTTCATTAATATTTTTGGCCTGCATCAGAAAGACAAGGCTAGCAAGCCACCTGGGAAAGGCACCCCTTCACTCCAAGCAGAATGGACTTTCTCCAAACCATACCCCAGTCCAGTTTCTGTAATCTGCTTCTTAAAGCCTCTGGTAGTGGAATTTCCAAAACCAAAGACGAATGGAAAATTTTAATCCCAATGAGCAGAGAAAGGTAGTGAATGCAAGAGAAAATAGTGTTATTCTTAATGAACCCTTGATATTACATTAACCTGTAAATTTTCTGTAGGATAGCAAGAACCTGGAAGTTTCAAAATCTCATCTGTGTCAACTCTCTGAATTAATTGTGCAAATTTGTTTTCCTGTATGTTGCCTAAGGAATACCTTTCTTGTTCAAAGCCATGAGCTGAAGATTGATAGCAGGAAATGGAATTAATTTGCTTTTTGACTTTTGTGATAGAGGAGAACCTCCCCCCCCGCCCCCCCCCCAGTTAAGACTTTTGAACAGTGTAAGATATCAAAATACTTCAAAATATAAATATTGAAAACATCCAAAACATAACTCTGTTTTTGAAATAATCTAAGAGGAAATCATATTTAGTTGTCACCAGGTCCCCACTGTAAAATAGTTAGAACACAGTCTAAAGAACTCAATTGCTAGAAATATAGAATTAATAATTAATAAAGTTAATATTGTGAATGAATAAGATAATGAAACATCCATAAAGCTGCTAAACAATGTTGTACTTTAGGCAAAGGAAGACCGAGATTATCAGCTTGTATTACTATAAAACAACTCTATTTTGTAAAGAAGAAATTAAGGTTCTTTCTTTGTGTTATAGTTAATTTGAAAAAAGGGGAAAAAAAAAGAAAGTGAGGAAGTCCAGCCGGTTCTGAGGACCACAATTGATGTATTTCTTTTGAAAAGGAGCAGCAAAAACGTGTCTTTGATCCCTCTTGTATAGCCATAGGTAAAAATGTTCCAGGACAAAAGGATTATGTATGAGTTTCTGTTATGAAGTGACTGTGCTCTGACAGCTTGATGTGCTGATTTTCCAAGGCAAAGGAGAATTTTAAGAAGCCCAAGTGACTGAATCCATCTGAAATGTGGAATGATTCCATCAGGAGAGGTGTCAGCCAGTGCAGTCCTGAGTATCAAGAGTCCTACAACTCTCTTCAGTTGCTCTGAGAGGGGGATTATGATTTCAAAAGTGTGGCTGAAATGCTGCACTGACGCTTCTGGGAATTATTTTAGCAATATAATACACCAGTCTTTCTGGGCATAATAAAGGAAGTAGATACTAGGGCTCAGGACACTGCAGTGTTTCGTTTTTGGAGTGAAGAAAATGTTTCCTCTGATGCTTCTGTTGTTTGTGTGACATCTGATGTTGAAAAGTTCATGTCTACACCTTCTCCAGACCTTCCTCTTACCACTGCTCTCATTATTTATAAGAAAATAGAATAGAAAAGAATGATAGACTATAATAAATAAAAAAGATAGAATATCTTTTTGTGTGATAGAATTTTGAGTGATAGAATAAAATAATTTAAAAATCATTGGAAGAGACCTTCAAGATCATTAAGATTTAACTCCCACTAAATCATAGCATGACCACGTACACCCACTTTGTGAACACTTCCAGCAATGGGGGCTGCAGCATTTCCAGGACAGCCTGTTCCAATGCTTAACCATTCTAAAAGTGAAGAAATTTTTTTTTCCTAATATCCAACCTGAACCTGTCTTGGTGCAGCTCAAGACCATTTCCCCTTGTATATCAAGACCTGGACCTCTTGTTGCCCTTTTAGATGCAACTGGAAAAAGAGCAGAAACCAAACACCATCACCCCCCCACCCCCCAAAAAAAACAAAAACAAAACCAAAACAAAGCAAAAAGATCTTGAAGAAAAAGCAAAAACACACACATAAAGTCCAATGCGTGGCATTCACATTCTCTGAAAGAATCCCTTCACCCAGGATTTTTCTTCCAGAAAGCTGAGAGGCCTCAGAGGAAAAGGAAAACAATTCTTATCTCATTTGCTTCTCCTGTGTTTTGCTCCTTTGGAATGTGTTTGGAGATTGTTTACCCACAGGTGATTGTTTCATTGGATTCTGGTGTTGTTTTGGCTCTTTGGCCAATCAGTGCTAACCAGTGTCAGGATTCTGGAGAGAGTCAAGAGTTTTTGTTATCATCTTTTTAGCATTGAGTAAGTATCCTTTCTGTATTCTATAGTATAGTATAGTTTAGTATTCTTTGATATAATATAGCACAATAAAGTAATAAATTAGCCTTCTGAGGGCATGGAGGCAGATTCATCATTCCTGCCTTTGTCAGGGCATTCCCTGCAAATACAATCCACATGGCCTAAAGGCAGTCACTGTTCATTCCCACAGTGGGGGAAGTCCTGGGTGTGTTCTCAGGAGGGAATTTCCACCCAGCACAACAAGGAGGAAAATTTATCTGTTGGCAGAAATACAAACACTGACACCATCAGGTGGTTGGCTTCCTGCAGAGGAAGGGAAATGTGGCTCCCCAGAATGTTGGTTGTTGTACAGCATCATATTCTTGAGCACATCTTGGGCCAGCTGTGCTTCAAATTGTTTATTTCACTAAACTAAACTCCTTATAAAACCCAGTGGAGCAATAGTAACAAAGGCTGGTGTGCTACCAACACCAACACTCATGTGTGAGCAGAGAAAATGCCTTCTGGGGTTAGGGGGTTCAGCAGACTTAATGAATTCAGCTGATGAGACTTTTTTCTTGGTTGTGCTTCCCACAGACCAAATTAATTCCAACAGATGAGTAAAAGATGGAAAGACATGCTAATTAGCAGCTTTTTTTAATGAACCAGTTCTCTACTTCAGAATCTAATTAGCTTTCTAGATAAGGCTTAGGCTGAAGTTTGTTTCTCCAGTGTAAGGATTATGTTCCTGTTTTTCCAGTGTTTGAAGATAAATGCTTTGGATTGATGGATATTCACTTCTATAGTCCTTACTTATATATTTATAAATTGTATATAAACTTAAATAGATGATGAGGGCCTTCTCTCATTACAGCTCTGGGGAATTAAACACCACATAAATTCCTCCAAGACAGAGAAGGCAGAGGGAACAGAAAGGACTGCAAATTGTGGGTAAGAGCATTTTACCAGAGTGATGGAGAGCAGTCGTGGTTGTGAGACAACAAACTGAGGGAGAAGTGAACAGGAGGACTCTGAAGGGAACTATGGTAAGAGGAGAAAAGACAAAAAGAATTTCCAAAATCTATTTGCTTTTCTTACAGTTTATATGTTGAAGGAAGAAACCAGAAACTATTTAATGGAAAACAAGGATAGAAGCAAATGTGAAATCTACATAAAAATAGAAAAAAACAACTTGCTGTTTAGGTTTAATTGTCTGTGAGGATAAGATAATCTCCTGACAAAAGTCCTGTGGGCTTGGGGGAAAAAGGTAAGTATGACAAATGGTTGTGCTGAAAGAAATAGAGTCATAACATTCTGCTGTTTGCAGCCCAGCACAGTGGATTTACTACCATGAAACATGCAATTTTAAAAATTCAAAGTGGTACTGGTGAGTAATTTCTTCCAAACTCCCAGGCTACAATTTTTAATCAATTTTTTTGAGGAAAGAGGCTGACATGCTAGGCCAGGGCCAAACTTGACTAAATTTGCATTAAGTCTGATTTCAGAAACATTGAGGAATTTAAAAATAACGGATGCTAAAATATTCTCTGATTCATGACATCCATGAATAAATCCACAGAGGAAGTGCATGTACTGCACTGCAATGGTGGTGGCAGGTAGTGAATAAAGCATTTTTGACTGTCTTAGCATGTTTGGGAGACAAGCTCTGAGCTTCAAGGCTACACAAGTAGAGGACTGAGGTGAGTTAATTTGCTGCTTGGTGTTGGTACAGGTCAACCACAAAGGATACTTTAAAAAATCCACCCAACACCTCAGCAGCTTCTAGCAGTGTGACAGATCTAGGACTGTGCTGCCACAGAGGTAATAAAGACAGGCTCAGGAGTCTGCTTTTCCCTTCCAAAACTAGCTCACATTTCTAGGGACATGCTGAAAAAAAAAATAGAGGAGAAAGAATGAGAAAGATGTTAAATTTGGCGATGATAATGAAACTCTGCATATTGAACGAGGATCAAGTTAGACTGATTCTCTCTTGCCAGGGAAATTTGATTGCTTTTTTAATAGAATTATAAAATGTAATGGAAAGAGGGAATCCAAAATTTCCCTTGTATTTGATGGAATATGTATTTGAAACATCTCAAAACTTAATTCAAGGGGATTTCGAGGGGGTCTGGTAATACCTGTGTGAGACCCAATAATGAAACCAGCTGTGATCAGGTGAAGTCTTCAGCTTTCCAATAAAACAATGACATCTCAGATGTGTTTACAGAAGTTAGTGAAAACACAGCGTGGTGCTGACTCCATCAAATCAGTGACAGAGGGCACTGGAGCTGCTCCTGCTGCAGGGGAAGGAATGGCCATGCTGATTTCCCCACCCAGACACATCAAACTCAGCCCACACTGTCCTCATCTCTTCCACTCAAAGTTAGGGCCAAATTAGTCTGCCTGCAGTATATGTGTCCCTGAGGACTGTTTGTGAGTTTATAGTGTGAGAGACAAATCAGAAATGGGTGATGTGTGGATGGGAAGCAGCAGACTGTGCAACATGCTTCTAAATTCTGGTTCAATGGTCACAACACTCCCTACTCTCTCTCTGCAGTGAGGTTTGGTGTTGACCATACTCTTGGAAAAGCAATTTGGTCTTTCTGTGGGATTCTAATGCCTCTAGACTCTTAGTCACCACAAGAGATACCAGAGGTCCAAGCTGGGTAGAAGCCAGGCAGAAAGCAGCAACTTTTTTTAGCATTAGTTTACACACCATTTTAATCTCTAGAGTTTTGTGTTGCAGTTGGATTCAAAAGATGATTATGTGGGTCAGATTCTATTGCTCCTGTTTGGTTGTTGTTTTGGTTTTGGTGTTTTGTTTTTGGTTTTTTTTTTTTTTGTTTGTTTGTTTGTTTGTTTTTTCCCCTGGTGTTTCACCAGGATTGGAGGAGATGGATGAAGCTCCTGTTAAGACAGCTGTAACAAACCCAGGTGGCCTCCAGGCTTCCTGAAGAGCAGGGCCTCCAAAACCAGTGCACACGAGTGGCCGAAAGGATCTCTGTCCCAGCAGAGCTGGAGCAAGGATTCAGAGCTGTGAGAAAAATCAGCATGCTGGGCATGAGGGAGGGAAGTGGGGGGAGGCTCAGTGAGCTGGGAGCAAAAGAGTGGGAAATGATGGCTGGGAAGGGGAGGCAGAGAGGTCAGAATATTCAAAGGATGGATCCTCCCAGTAACAATCAGGGGGACAAGTGCTGGCTTTGTCCTCCTCATCACACCCATAAATAATGTGGAAAACAGAGAACATCCAGTTGATGGAGCCCTGGATACTGAGAATTTCAGACTTTCTGTGCTGAAAGGCACAGACCCTCAAGAGAACACTACATTTGACCTGAGGCCATGGAGAAGGCTTCCACAACTGAATGATAGAACTGGGATTACGAATGTGGAGTTTGAATAGAAGTGTGTAATATCACGTGGTGGAAAATTTAGAGTTTAAGGTTTTAAAATATAGTAATATATATAAAGCTAAGATGGAGGTTTCAGGGTGGAGGCTGGTCCTTCTTCACTTTCTTCATGGCTTTGGGTTGTGTTTTGTAATTGGACAGAAGTTCTGCATCGAAGGACACGAGGGATTATAAAAGTGAAAATATTTTAGGTGTCATTTCTTAATTGGATAGTTTAGCCTTAAAAGACCTTGTAGAGAAAGATGGTTAGCCATTTTGTTAGTAGAAGGCTGTAGGACTCACAGCTTGTAAGACTGTGATATAGACAAGAAATAATAAACATTTGAGTCTGAACATGAAATACCATCTCAAGCACATCAGTCCTGACCTTGACAGAGGCAGAAAAGAAGTTAAAGAATTGAAAATCAGTGATGTGACAAGGACTACAAATTATGTGGAATTAGATTAGTAAGAGCTAAAGCTGTCTGCAAAGAGTTGCAAAAGGGACCTCATAAAATGTGAGTAACTGGATCATGAAAGTGTAGATATCAAACTCCACGCTGATAGCTGGAGGAGGAACAGGCATGAGGAGATATGCACCAATGAGCTCCAAATTAGCTACCACATCTCAAGAAAAATTATCTGAGTCATTGTGGATAATTCAATCAAAATATCAGGAAAATATTTGGGAGCAATGAAAAAAAACCACAACAAAGAAACAGACGAAAATTTAATTACAGCTGAAGGGTGAGACAAAAATCCAACACGCTGCAGCAGCAAATCCCCAGTGTACCCACACCTTACATTGTGCAAGCAGTGTGACCTCTTCCCACTTCCTCACTGACAATTTTTTTTTTTCTTAAATATAGCTAGAAAAATCTCAGGGAAGAGTACTGAAAATGATCATCAGCATGGAATATTTTCCATACAAGGAGAGGCTAAATAGAAGTGCGCCCCTCAGAAAGCAGAGGACTAAATCACAGAAGTATACAAAATATATAAATTATGATCCACACATGGCATGGAAGATGTAAGTGAGGAACTGTAGCCATTATTTCTTACTGTACAAGCACACCATGAAATCATCAGCAGGTCCTGAACAAACAGAAGGAAGTATTTCTGCAAGCAGTCTATAATTAAATTGTGGAACTCATTGCTACAGGATGCCATGGAAGCTGAAAGCATAAATGAATTAAAAATGAGATTAGACAAATTTATGGATTTGCCTCCATCAAAGGCTGTTAAACAGAAGGATGTGGTTTCAATATCTGACTCAGGAAATCTTTCAGCAAAGATTGCAGGAAATCTGCAAGGATATGTTGAGGAAGGAGAGCAGAGGATTTTCAGTCCTTGTGAAAGGGATCATTTGGCACCTGATTTTCCCCTGTGCACATTCTCTAAACAGCTGAAACTGGATTGTCTCAGACACAGGATGCTGAACAATCCTTTGGCTTGACTCATTATGACTCTTTATAATTCTTACTTTATTTCATTTCTCCTTTCCCTTTATCTGCCTTCAGTTTTTATGACCAAGCCATTGGATGAACAAAGTCTCTCAGTAGCAGAGGCAGCTGCTGTTTGACCAGACTTCACAACCCTTTTTGACTTCTGGGGTTGTTGGACAGTTTTAGCTGTGCCTTGTCTTAATGCTCAGCACCTGGAAAAAGCAGGGAGGATTTTCAATTAACTCCTGGGTGCATGAGCCATAGAATTAATTTCCTTTGATGCACACTGGAGGTTTTTTGAAGACTCTGCTAGGCAAGACTGGGCAAACGTCTGAGGCACACCATGGACTGAAGGCACAGCTCTAACTGCTGGGGATGACTGTGAGCTGAGCTGGGCTAAAAAAAATCTAATGAATTTCCATTATCTAAAAGAGCACTTAAAAGCACAACTAAAAAAATGTGCAAATAATCCAGCACTGGAACAGGATGCAAACACCAGTCAGGAGAAAAAAAATTGAGCAACTAGGAAATGGAATCTGGAAATTAGTTGTAAAAAATTACCTCCTTTGTAAGCTGATACATCTGGGAATCACTCTCCCTTTCCTCTTCCCCATATTCCTATTCTCAAGGGGAGGCAGGAATGTAAGTAGGTGCATAAAAAGCAGAGGTTAAGTGCACAGCAGCAGGGAAGTGAAATGACAGTGATGTATTGAAATGGAAATGGGGGTGGTCAGTTTGATCTGCATATACAAGGGCATTATGCCATGAAACTTCTTGAATTTAACCATGGTAGAAGCACACCTGTGACACTGCAGCTAAATTCAGAAAACTGTTAATAACAAAATTAGAATGAACTGCACCAAGTTTAAAACCCACAGCAAAATGAAAATAGGGACTGACTTTAACAAAGCCATGAATACATCAGCAAAGAAAACATGAGGAGGGGGAAAAGTTCTTTAAGCTGAAGTACACTGCTGGCACAAGAACAAATAGCTGTAAACTGGCCATGAATAAACTTAGGATGGAGATTAGAAGAATTTGTCTAGCCCTAAGAGGAGTGAGTTTTTGGAACTGCTTTTTAGTAGAAACAAGAGAGACAGATCACTCTATTTTCAAATGACAGAGAACAGCTTATATGATATTGTTGCCTGAAATAGAAAAGGACTGTTTCTGGCAAGCCAGGAAGTCCCTTATATCTTTATATTTTAAGCAATTCTGTATTATAAGATGAAAGTAGATTTGAGATCATAAACATTTGAAGGGCAGGGAGAGAATTACTTTCTTGAGAAACTTCTGAGAGTGGTTATGCAATATTTTCTCAAAGGGACTCATGGATGACTCATCATTTGGGCTGTCTAAAATAAGGCTGAATAAAGCAGCAATCCAGGTAATTTCAAGATGTGCCAGCACGAAGAACAAGTCAGTCTTAATTGTCACTCTTCATCAGGACTCATGTCATGGGGCCTTGGTGATTCAAACCCTGGAGCTCAATGGCAAAAGTACAAAACTCAGGGAGGTGGATTCTCTGAAAGCTGCTGAAAAGGAAGAGATGGTGGCCAAAAGTTATGAATGTTGGGCTGGGGATTCGTAATTGCTCACCCCAAGTGGTGTAAGGTTCCCTTTGTGTTGGCATGAACAAGATCTGCTTCCTAGAGAGGATGATGCAGGAGGAAACATTTCATGTGGAGGATGCTCATGGACCCTGAGCCACCTGGGCTAGAGGAAGGTGTCACTGCCCGTGGCAGGAGAGGATTGGAACAAGATGATTTGCAAGGTCCTTTCCAGTCCTAACTATTCTCTGATTCTATGATTTCAAAAGGAGGTTCAGGACCACCAATTCCAATTACGTAGTTCAAAATATCATAGAAGAACCTCAGATTTGGGGGCCACGTGGCTTCCGAAAAGTTCACAAAACTGAGGCAAAAATAGCCATGAAGGTCAGTGTCTAAAAGATCAGACCTCAGGTACAAGGGCTGGCCAGTGCAGACTGCAAAATTAGCTACTAATTTTAGTTTTGCTAATTTTTAGTTTTAAAACTAATTTTAGTTTTATATTTGAACAGCTTACTACTCTCTGGATATTGCTTGTGTTTTGTTTTGGTATTTTTTTAATATTAAGCTGCCATTTAACTTCGTGTTTTACATTGGGAAAACAAGATGTTGGAAATGTTCAGTGATCCCCTCTCCCCTTTCTCAGGCACACAGGAGGGTGTTCTGTCATCAGAATGACAAGCACAGCAGAGGGCTTCTGTTCAGAGCTGCTGGAACTGGGTTTTCCAGACCAGTGGTGAAAATGATGGCATGGAGACTGGAATTTGTGGAAAATTGGATGGAAAAGGAGGTCAGAATGTTTTTCTCTTACAAGAAGAGTCACTGGTGCTTGGATTTAGTGCATTTTTGAGATAACCTGGATCCTTTGTAGCTTATCACTGTGGCACTGGGACAAGGCACGCTTTAGGTAAATAGTCACAAGGTAATGACTTCACAGAGGTGTTTTTAGCAAACTAGAAGAGATCTTTAACAAAATGAAGATACAGATTCTGACTTCATTGATTGGCTGTTTTAATAGAAAACAAGCCAAAGTTAAAGTAGTCATGCTTGGAATATTAAGCTCTCCCAATGAGTTTTCTGATTTTAATTAAAACTGCAGTTTTGATTCTTTGCATTGTAAGACTAATTTCATGCATATCAGTACAAGGTCATTTCATTGTTCTCAGAGATATCTTTTAATCTGCCCCCTTGAGACTTGCATTCCTTGATTAAATAAATATGCTCTGGGAGCATTTATTATCTGACCATGCCCACTCACACATCAGATGCCAGGCAGTTACCCTTTCTTCTTAATATACCATCAAATTGGTAAAAGCATTGGAATTCTGGGCTCTGTCCAACACTGACAGATGAATAATTAAAGTAAAAAAAGACTTCAAGTTCTCACTTTTCTCTTTCATGATCTCACTTGATGTAACTTTCAATACTGAGAATACCAAAGCTGGACAAAACTCTGACAGCAATACTTTTACCACCAAAAATATAGGTTCAGAATCATTAATTATTTTCTACTGATTCTGCTAAACTGCTTCACCTGGGAGATGAAAATGCAAACCCAGAATCCAAGCTTCTGCTTTGAGATAGTGTAATTCAGTTTCCACGGAAGTGACCATATTAACCAAAATTATTTCCAAACTTACTGTATATAAAACAGTGAACATTTAAAAATGCAGGAAAAGCCCCTCCATGCATCCACCATTAATGAGCACAAAGGTAACAAATCTGGTGGGTTGATACAGCTGCAAGTAGAGAATGCTAAGAAAGCTCTGAAAAGTCAGATAAAAAATGGAATGGCAACTAATTCCTCCCAGTTTCCACAAGTCAAGCCTCAAGCAGCATCACGCAGCTTTTAAGTCTTCAACTCTATATTGACTCATGCAGTCACTTATTATGTGTTCATCTCACTTTGATTCATCATCCCTAGCTGGAGAGTCAGACTTGCCAAGATTCTGCCTTTTCTCAGAAGCCTTTTTGGGAATGTCACAGGAATTCTGTGGTGTGACACGGAGGAAGGACTCAGTTGTGGCATCCAGGCTAATTTTGTCCAGAAAGAGCTTGTGAAACCTGTCCTGCCAACAGCTGAACAGCGACACTGCTGACCTGAAATGTTTCCTTTTAGCATCAAACCCTCCTTCCATCTGGATTTAGCCTTTCTGTCCTGCAAGCTCATCTATCTCACTGTTTTTTCCCCCCAGAGCCCATCTCCATTTTTCATTGTTGGCTGAGGTCCTGGACCCCACAAAGCTCCTGCTGCCTGGGCTAGATGACAGGATGATGAGGACATGTGGCCTTTCCGTCCCTTGAACACAGGAAAATCTTGGGGGAGGGTTGGTAAGACTTCCAAGTATGAAGTGCAGAAAATATTCAACTCCTTCCACTTGCTTGAATTTTTCTCTACAATTCCCCAAGCTGTGTGAAGGTCAAGAGCTCATTTCCTCTTAGAGCATCTTCACTGGCTCTGCTCTGTCTCTGTTTTCTTATCTATTTCTTTACCATGTTCAGCTGTAATGAGCTGATAAGAATTCAGATAAGGAAATTACAATGAATGGGGTGTTGTTATTTTTTCTTCTTGGACACAAAAAGGACAGATTCTGTATGCCTTACTCTGGGAAACCTTCCCTGTAGCTGCTTGTGAGCTGTCACAGAGCTGTAATCTGCAGTTCTGTTTTCATAAAGGCAATGTTAAAGGCCAAAGGTTTATGTTGATGCAAACTCTGAACTTTCCAGGGCAGCAAATAATTTCAGCATTTTGAGGAAGATAAGGATTTCCTCATAATCCAGCAGAGGGCCCTGGATCTGATTTCACTTTTTTTTTTTTTTTTTTGGCAGAAAATTATTTTACTTATACAATGGAGCTGTTCACAGGAAGCCAGCTGAGCCTTGCATTCAGTTCAGGTTTTGATTTTTTGGTAGAAGTTAAGTTACATTAAGAAAAGAACATGGCACAGATTATAAAAACAAGTTATCAGACTTATTTATTTAACTACCAACTCCACTGCAAAACACAGAGAATAAAAAATGATGATTTTAGAGGTTATTTATATCAGGGATTAATCCTGCCTGGTTTTGCTTTTTCAGCACTGACATCAGCTAGAATTTGGGGAATGTAGGCTTGTGTTCATTGCAGGCATTTAATTCACAAAATAAAGCCACAGACGAGTAGAACTGGTGAGAATTTGCAGGTTGTTCTCCCCAGTTTGATTAATGTGATATACAGAATGCACTACAAAGTGATTTTGAAATGTAAAACATTAATGTTCCCTTTGAAGGGCTGATATCAAGTGCCAAATGATATATCAATTAAATGGAAAACAAATCCCAGCCCTGCAAATATTGTACAGAAACAGCTTCTTTGAAGTCAATGGGACTAATTACAAGTGTAAAATAAAGCCTGGTTGTACAGCACTTCAGTTAACTGGAGTTTAATTCCATGAATTTAATAAAAAACAGATCTCGGAACAACTCCAGCTCGGCTTCACACTGACAAAGTGCAATTCCTGCCTGGCTCAGCCATCTGTGGGTCTCTGGTACCCAAAATCCTGCAGGACAGGGTCTGACACTGCACTGCAGAGCTCCACAGTTCCCATCTCAGAGATGCAGTGTGTGGGCACTGACTGGCAAAGGGTTGTGTTCAGTGTTCCCAAATCCTCTGGTATCACACCCAA